TAATAATTACATTGTAAAATTAAAGACTAATCGTTATTTAGTAGACAATACAATGTCAAACGACTTGACCCACCATCCAAAATTTTTTTTGGGTACTAAGTCTAGACTTTATGCATGTCCCGAATTAGCTCATATGATATATCAGGTGAGCAATTTGCCTTTTTAATTACTATCGTTATGACGAACAAAAATTACTCATTATGACGAACAAAAATCAGTTTTTTATGACTTTTTTTAATTTAAAAGTTAATTTAATGTGGCGTGATATGACGACAATTTTGAAATATGCGACTTTCTTATTTCAAGAACTTATTGATTGATTCAACTGAACCTACCTCTTCAAGTTCGATGTTTTAAAATGTAATTGAATCTGGAACGCTTATGGAAATAACAAACCATCCTCCAAAGCGATTAAAAAATGGCACTTTCTGGAACGAACTTACTAAAATCGGTGATAAATGACATTGCAAATTTTGCAATAAACCTTATTCAATGGAAACGGATCTTTCTACTATTAAACCCCATTTTAAAAATAACCATGTAGAGAGGTGGAATGAAATTATGCAAGCCATTAAGGCAAATGTTGAACCTTATTACTGAGCGAAGAAATATTTTCGAAAGCAAAAAATACAATTAACCCAATATGTAACAGGTTGTATGAAGAAAATGCCTCTGCTTAAAGACCTGGTGTTATTGGCTGTAATGAAGGTTAATACATTGGATAAATAAATAACAGCGATAGATGCAATAAATATTATAATGCAAAAATTTATATATTTTTAAAAGTAAATTTCATGCATTTACTTTAATAAAAAGTAATAGTGATACGTAGCACGCAAGCATAATTAGGCCGCTTGCAGTTAAAGTTTCGTTTAACGTTATATTTTTTTCGTATTCACGGGGGGGATTAAACAAACATAAAAAACAAACATATAGTATACCGAAAAATCCCGAATATAATCGAAAAATTCCGATCGCCGTGCCGACCATTACACTGACTAATTTGTCACCTCTATTTGTTTAATTTTAGGGGGGAGCTCAGGGGATGGAGGGGATAACGTTAAACGAAAGTTTAACTTCAAGGGGCCTTATTAGTACATTTATATGAACTAAGTTCGAAAATCGGTTTTTATGTAAATGTTCCGAACAGTGTTCCAACGGGTTTTTAAGCACAAACAACCGGTTAGAGCAGGATAACATCCCTAATAATAATTCTACAAGGGCGACTTAACGTTAACGTTAACGATGGTGTGAAATTAAGGAGAGAATATCATTATCGTTATGAAGTTACTTTATTACAAAAAGAAGGTTCTTTTGTTTATTAGAATAAATACTTCACTTTTTATACATTCTGATTAATAGGAAATAGAACACATTCTGAAACTTACTTTATGACATTGAGGCATCGCGCTATCGTGTTGGCTCATGTCAATATGCACACTGCCTCATTCGAGGGCTTTAACAATCGCGATACTAATTTAGATGATCAATTACACCAAAAAGGTAAGATCATAAAATTAATAGGTTATTATTCTGGAAAATTCTCATTAGCTTCCATAAAATCCAGATAAATTTTATCATTGCGATATACGTAAGTTTAAATATATTTTTTTTATAGTTGCAGCTGTAAATAAAAAGTTTTCAGTTGGCCAATGTCTAGTGATTAATGCTAGTGCAAAAATGTTCTAAACATAAAGAAGAATTAAAAAACGAAGCGATTTTTTTTTTTTAACTACCGGTAACTCGAATTTTAACTGAAACTGGCTTTTACACAATAATTGGAAATAATTCCTATAGAAATTTATTATATAATATCAAACCCTAACGACACCTTAATCTCTTTAATCTATTGTATTTAAACAAAATAATTTGCTTTATTACTACTACGTATATTACAAATATTTTGAGGCATACATTTTCCAGAAAGATTTAAACGAAAAATTTTAAAATTCTCCGGAAATTGCGTGCCTCGAAATTACACCCAGGGTGTTATTTCGCGCAACTACTAAATACACTTTCTTAAAGTTAAATTTTGTTACTTATTTATACGTAATATTTTCCTTTTACTTCTGTTTAATAAGAGATTTATTAAAGTTGCTTGTCGTTAATTTAAACTTTTTTAACAAGATCAATAATCGAATAAAAAAATACTTTCAACGAAATTACTTAGTGAAGTACGCTCTGTACACTAATAAAGGTAGAATGATGCTTATTTAGACAGGATACCATTCGTTTCTGTTGTCAACATTTATTTTGGGAAGTAATTGGGATCTCAATTGCAATTGCTAATATCCACTTAAGTAATTTGACAACCTCGCCGTTTTTATCTTTAATATCATTTACGATCCTTAAATTTAATCTCCAAATGTTTATGATTCAAACTAAATTCAGTGATAGTAGCTCCCAAAATCGTAACATCGTGATATGATGGATATGGAATAGCAAGGCCAAAGAATATAAGGAGCATTTGGAAACATTGGGCATTAATGAGATAAATAACCTTTAAGGCATAAGGAAACTAGTGAACTATAAGTTTTTGTGAATGAGTTGCCTTATGTTCTTATTAATGAATATTTTATTAGATATAATGTAATATTACTCACTTTGTAGTTGAGTTTTAAGCTTGCCATCGTATTTAGAGGCATGAGTTACATCCATAACTCATTATTTTCGACAAGTTACGGCATTACATTCACACACCTCTAATCATATACTTTTCTTTATTATATAAAGAATACTTTATAAAATCAATCCCGGACCTTATATACAGTATAAAGCTTTTCACTTTTCATGCCCTAACAGCCATGATCAGCCACTGTACAATATTGTGTTCATAACCTTATTATTAGTTTTTTTTTTATTTTGATCTTGATTTCCGAGAAGTATTAACTCTGTTATGCTACAAAATAAAGCATGTAAATCGTTATAATCTCTCACCACCTATTCAATACAACAGTACTTTCTACATTACACGTATTCTGTAGACAATCATAAAACCTTCCTTAAAAAATTTATAATCAGTAAATGCGCATGAATTTATTAATAATCAATTATATAAGTCGGTTATTATAATTTGCTATTGGAACAAATTCAAATTTATCAACGTTCAAGTTCAAAGTTTTCCAATAAATAAAGTTCAGCTATCATAAGCATTAACTAATGCTTGAAGTTATCATGATCATTTAGCATTTCACTTTATTTATGTATATCGAAAATGTGTGCAATGTTGTGCTCTGAATAAAACGCGATAACATTTTCAATTATATACTTAATCAAAGTTTTATCTTTTTCGGCAATACTTGTAAGTCAACACTCTTATATCGAACCTCTATAACAATCCCTGGATAAACGAACTAAAAATTTTAAATTTTAATTTAGTATAAAGAGTTGTAGTTTCTTTAAACAAAACAACATAGTATTGTAATTTATATAGCGAACGTTTTTTTTTCATCCTGAAACATCACTTGTTATAGAAAAAGCCGACTGCAATTGAAGTTTATATTTTTCGTACATTCATAACGACTTGCATGTTTAGTTTAAATATTTTATCAATATTTTGTGTACATTCATAATGATTAGAATGTTTTACTTCGTATCGATACAATTTTGCAATAGAACTTCATTAGTAAATATATAGGTTAGTAGTCTAGAGAGGATTTTTTTATATACAACAGGGTATATGATATGAGTGATGCCAAGGCAAAAGTAAGCAAATTTGGAGGTATCAATAAGGCGAGTTTATCTCTGGGAAAATTATGATATGTCATATTAAATCATTGTATACAATCAATGTTCTGGTTGTCCTTATTGATGCCTAAATATTTGCTTACAGGTTTTGCCTTGGCATCGCTCATGTAGAAATGTGAATTTTAAGCATATAATTATAGAATTTTCATAATTTTCACAGATAGTTGTTACACATTCTATATAAAACATGTCAAATCAAAATAATCATAATGCCGCTAATACATACCCTTATCCTAACATTGTAACCCGAATGAAACTCTGTATTGAATTTTTGATCTGACACAAATTTCAATTTGACATACATTAATAATCAGAAAAGGTTTTTTGGACCTCTGATCTTGATTGATAACGCGTCTAACCCATCTTTCCCACGTGCTAAGCCACTTACTTATTAACATAGAAATTTATTATAATAACGCACCTTCACCCGGGGATTTTAGTTATTTCGGTCAAAATCATTATTGTTTACTTAGTGGTCAGATTTTCAAATGTTGGGAGTATTTCATAAATTCGCCGCAATATTATCGTAATCCATTCTAAATAGTACAATGCTTAACCCATATCTATACAATATTAGTAATATTTAGGATATACAACTCCAACATCATATCATTAATTTTCATCAACATTTTAATAAACAACCCTAGCATCACCCATAAAAAAATGTCGCTGACGTCACTTGAAAATGATCACGATGATGAATCACATTACTTATCATTATTCTTATCATTATTTATTAATAATGAGTATATACGTACTAACAAATATCATAATTATCGCAATAAAAAAAATGTCTGAACAAAAAATTGGTTGTAACAAATGTCATACTGAACAAAGCCGTGAACATTTTTTTAATAATAAGGGAAAGCAATTAGCAACCTGTCAAAAATGTCGAAACAAATGAAAGAGAACTTCAGATCAAATGCAAGATCAAATACAAGATCAAATGCAAGAATATAATTCTAGAAGTGAATCAGCTATTAGTTTCGAAGATATTAGCGAATTTGTCTACAATTCTTTAAGATCTTTAGAAGGAACTAATGAACAGTATGAAAGTGATCCTGAACTTTATATTAATTTTGATATTCAATTATCACAAAATAATAATTCAATAAAAAATTATACGAACGAACAATATAAAGAGTTAAGCAATCAAATCGTATTACTTATAGAAAAAGGAGATGGCTATAATTGGGTTTACAAAAGTCAAAATTCAACTAATAATGTATTGCATCTAATTTATTGGTGCAACTGTAGAACTGAGCTTGGAAAACGTAAACCTAAAATTTTAGATATTAATAAATAAAGAGATACCTCTATAAATATCAAAATATTAAAAAATAAAAATTTAATTGAGGTTGATTATTTGCACTTAATTTTGCATTTGCGCCCTTTACATATTCAAACAACTCAAGTAATACGTGAATTTATTTGCCATAATATAAATTATTCAGTTCCTGAGCTTTGGCAACAAATTCAAGAAAGACAACTTGATGGTTATAACAATTTAAGTATTCAACAAGTTTATTTCTGGTGGTCTAATGAGTCACGAAAAATTTATCAACGTAAATCGGATCCTTTAAAATCAGCACGTTTGTTATTAAATGAATTTAAGCAAGAGATTATTATTGATATAACAATTCTAACAGGTGCACTTGGTTTTACGACATCTCTTTTTAAAATACTTCCATGTAATAAGCTTGATGCTGTTGAAATTGATGCGACATATGATACTAACTATAATGAGTAGGAATTATATGCAATGATGGGTGTAATTGACGGAACAGGATTCCCCTTAAGTTATCTTTTCATTGAAATGGGTAAAAACCGAGATATTACAGGAATACTTACAAATTGGATGAAGGCATTAAAAGATCGTCACTTAATTGATTTTCCATTTGTTCTCGTTGATAAATCAATTGCTGAAATCAATGCTATTCGACTTGTTTGGCCAGAATCTCACCTGCAGTTATGTGCATGGCACGTACGTAGAGCAATTAAACAAAGACTAGCATCAAATAAAAAAATTCAGAATTATAATTATAATCCTTATATTGCATATTAAGAGTGTTCTGGAATTGATCCCGAATGGAACCCTCAAAACAATATAGCTAATTCATCAAATATTATTTGCCCTTTAGAACTTAGAAAAAATCTTTTAAACCTTATTGATTATCATTACAATCGTCATATGTTATTGCCAAAACCAAATGGAGAATTTATTACGAGTTCAGAACTTATTTGGAAAGAATCCGTATCAGAGATTAACTACTTTTGCCATAACTATAATTTATTTAGCCTTTGGTTATATTTATGGTTTGAGTGGTATTCATATGACAAATGGATTTTATGGGCAAGAGCTTCGAATAATGAAATTAGTCATATCAAGACTATGATGATTGTTGAGTCACATTGGCGACTTCTAAAACATGAATTTTTATATAAATTTCATAAACCTCGTATAGATCATTTGTGTTATATCCTTGTTCAAAAAGGTGTCAAACAACAACTTCATCGTATCTATTTATTGCAGCAGGAACGTTACATAGTACCTTGGAGAAAAGCATTTAAAAAAGAGTGGAGAAAACATGAAAAAAAAAATATTAGTAATGACAATATATATAAGACAAATATACGAAATTGGACATGTTCATGTCTTTCATACCTTCAAAGTCGATTTTTTTTGTGTAAGCACTTGGTTTGTAGTGTTGGCGAAGTTGATAGTTCCTTTTTCAAAAAGGTACTGTGCTTAAGTAATTTATTATTAATATAATTATTATATGTTATTTACAAATATTTTTATGCAGGTTCAAAGAAACGGCACTTATCCAATTATTGGAGTAAATAAAAACGAAGTTTATAATGTTTTTAATTTTCAAGACTTAAATACTTCATTTTACTATAATTCACTTGAAACTAACGATGAAGACTTTTTACTCGAAAGTGATGATGAAAAAGAAGCTTCGGATAATGTTTTAAATCATTTATATGGTATTCTTGATCAAGTAAGACGTATTATTATACTTAAAAATATTTCGAGAATTATTAATTCATTATTAATTTATTAGAGCAAAGCACTTCTTACTTTGTTACAAAATAAACAAAATGCTGATATTTGGTTAAACTTAGTTCATTCAAATTTCAGGCCATTAGAAAATATGGTTGAAAATATTAACAAACTTAAAGATTATGAAATCGATCCGAAAAATCTTAATAAAATGCAATGTAATACGTAGAATTTATACATTTTATTTTTACTACCTACGCAAATATACATTTCATAAAATACATATGTATTTATGCTTAATGTAACATTTACTAAATGTGAAATATATTGTATTCGAATTAGAAATATAAGAAATTAAATCTTTATTAAATGCTAACGCTAAAGTTAAATATAAAATTTACTAAATTTGGAAATTGTAAGGAATCTAAATTTGGAAGTTGTCGGGAATTAAATTCGTCATATAATCTCAATGGTGATGTCAGCGACATTTTTTTATGGGCGATGCTAGGGTTGTTATATTAATAACCTCCATCTTTTAGGAATCACTACACGTATTAGACTTTAACAATTACAAAACAACATCTGATCAACCATCAACATACTACAAACACCCTCAACCTGTTATTGAATTATATTTGCCAATATATGCTAAAGTTCATCCAATATTTATTCACTTTGTAGCAAGCTTCATGAGTATTAACTCTGTTACTGTATGCTACAAAATTTTTTATAACCTATAAAATTCAATTTATTTGTCATCATTTATTTAATAAAACCATTCATTTTGTTCGTTCACCGTATGCTATAAGTAATCATAAAAATTTTTGTAATCGATTCAAAGTCAATAAATACGCGTAAATTTATTAATTCTGTAAGTTGATTATAACAATTTGCTATCCAGAACAAATTCAACTTTATTTTGATGTCCAATGTGAGTTTTTCTAAGTTTAAAGTGTTACTTAACTACATAAACATTAACTAATGCTTGAAGTTATAATACTCGCTTAGTAATTCATTTTATTTATACTAAATCAGTATATTTTCAGGTAATGAAATAACAGAAGAATACGCTTCTTTTACAGCATTTTATATGCCAATCGTTTACTGATAAATTTAATAAAATACTTTGCAATTAGATTTCTTTATGTAAGAAAAATTTTTTTAACACACTTATATTCTTCGTATTTTTACAGTTTTTGAAATCAATTAAATTTCTATAAAGATTTAAGCAGTTTAATGTATTATTCTTATGGAGGGCCTCCACCAAGACCTTTCCGACTTCGAAATTAAGCTTATTATAAGAAAGATCTAAGGAAGTTAGAGTAGTGTTTATGCAAAGAGCTTCTGCTAATGTCATTCCTCCATTAGATTCAATTTCATTATTACTAATATTTAAAGAAGATAAAGCAATATTTTTACGAAGAGCTCCTGCGAATGCTTTTGCCCCTTTAAAACCAAGTTGATTACCACTAATATTTAAGGATTTTAGAGTAGTATTTATACAAAGAGCCTTTGCAAATGATTCTCCTCCCTTGAAACCGATCTCGTTATAGCTAATATCTAAAGAAGTCAGAGTATTATTTGTGCATAGAGCCCTTGCTAGTACTTCTCCTCCATCAACATTAATCTTATTATTGTGAACATTTAAACAAGTTAAAGTAGTATTTATGTAAAGTGATTCTGCCAATGCTTTTCCTCCTTCAAAACCAGCACTATTAGAATTGATAAATAAAGTTTTTAAAGCAACGTTTTTATGAAGAACTTTTGCTATTGCTTTCACTCCTTCAGAACCAAGTCGGTTACCGGAACCATTTAAATAAGTCAAAGTAGTGTTTACGCAACAGGCTTCTGCTATCAATTTCCAATTCTCAGGACCAAGAAGATTAAATGCAATATCTAAAGAAGTTAAAGTAGTGTTTTTGCGAAGCACCTCTACTAATACTTTGACTCCTTCAGAGTTAATTATATTACCCGCAAGCTTCAAAGAAGCTAAAGTGTTATTTTTAAAAAGAGTTTCTATTAATACTTTTGCATCCAAAGAACGATTCCCGCGAACATTTAAAGTAGTTAAAGTAGTGTTTTTGCAAAGTGCTTCTGCTAACGCCTTTCCTCCCTCGAAATCAATATTAGTATAGTTAATATCTAAATTAGTTAGAGTGTTATTCTTCCAAAGAGCTTTTGCTAATGCTTTCCCCCCTTTAGATCCAATATTATTATGACTAATATTTAAAAACCTTAGAGTAGTGTTGTTATAAAGAGTTTCTGCTAGTGCCTCCCCTTCCGCAGGATTAAGTCCACAAGACGAAAGATTTAAAGAAGTCAAGCTAGTATTTTTGCTAATAACCTTTATAAAAAATTTTATTTCCTCAGAATTAAAATTATTAAAACGATAATCTAAAGATTTAAGTTTTTTACTTGTTCGTAGGAACATTACGACCAAAGACCATCTTATGGCTTTTGCAATAGAAGTTAAATCATTAGATCTATTCAAACTACATTCTTCAACAAGCCAATTTTCAATTCCAACGGTTAAATAAAAAAAGCCAACTAACACAGTATAACTTGTGTACTCAAATAATGGTTTTGGATGATTTGAAATATTAATTTTAAAGGGAACCAATAGAGCTTGTTCTTCAGCATTTAACGCTAAAAGATATGTTCTCAAAAGTCTTATATCAAAAAAATGAATGGTTGGCTCACTCCATAATATTGGTACTATAGTTCTACACCATCGACGGTTTACAAGAAGGCAAGAGAATAAACTTGAATAATCAGCATTAAGATTATTAAATATTTTTAAAAGGCATTCGATCGGTAACGTTATCATTTTGAAGGTTAAGAACTTTAAGATCTTAATATATAAGTACGTACGTACGTACATATAATGATTTAAGACAATTTATATCCAATATACGTACGTACGTACGTACGTACTTTATATATAATCAACGTGAGATATTGTGAAACGTTGTACCAAGTTTGCACTTACCAAACATAGGGTTAGGGATGTAAAATTACGGTAATTTACGTAATTTAGCGTTAGTGTAATTTGCGTAAGATGCGGTAATTGAAATTTCATCGTAGTAGTAGTGATGACTAGTATTCGTAATCGTAATACTATGATCAGGTGAATCGATGTGATTGGTTTGATCCGTTACATGCATGCAAGTTTATTGTAATCGTGCTATTAAATCGATAACAATGCATGAGAGATGAGTCATTAATTTGTAGTTTAATAAAGTCAAGATAATGTATAAATAGAATAAGGGGATTAATGTTAATGTATTTTTTTCAATTACGATCATTGTAATAAAGAAATTCATCTTAGTCATTGATATTGCATGCCGTGGGTAAAGATGTGGTTTGAAGTAAGCGAAGCGCTGAATAAAGGTAAAGACGAACTCAACAAAGTTAAAGCTAAAGGATAACTTACGATTTGAAGGCTTTGTTAGTTTAAATTAAAGGTAGAGATGAACCAAAACGGTTATAAGTAAAGGATAACTTACCCAACGTAGTACAGTGGTCGTCGGAGGGTTGGTGTAGTTTGAAATAAGAGAAAGGGTATTATTAGTGTCGAATAAAGGTAGAGATGAACCAAACAAAGTTATGAGTAAGAATAACTTTCCCACATAGTACAGCGGTCACCAAGCAGTTGGCGTGTCAAAAGTAAAAAAAATTGCATCCATTTTCTAACTTGCACAGCATAAAGTAATTCCATAATTTCGTGCCAATATTAAAGACATACGTTAAGGATAAAGAGAGGATTGTCATTAGTATTAAAGTTGAAAATTACAGCGTAACAATATAATAAAAAAAATCATATATTACACTATATTTGTTCATATGGCAATTATAATGGTTCGAACTAAAAATGATGATATGTAGGATTGCTGCACAATGCAAATTGATGAAAATAGTTACAAGTGCAAAGGGTGTAGTAAAGATTGGGTGAAAAATGCAACTAGGTTACAGGAACATTTGAAAACATGCACTTTATAGAACTTAAATGAAGCTTCTAATTCTAATTAAAAATGAAAATTCATGTTAGATAATTTAGAGCAAGAGTAAATAGAATTGAAATCCTTACTTGCCTGGTCCTTTTTTACATCAGGAATTCCATTTAGCACAATTGAAATCTAGAGTTTTACACTTTTCTTAATAAGGCTTGTCCTTCTTTTAGAATTCCATTACCCCAAACTCTTTCTAGTTCACTTAACAAAAAACATGCTAATTGCAAATATTTGTTCAGGATATTCTTGAGGAAGCTTTTCACCATTGCTTAGTTAGCGATGGTTGGTCAAATGTTAACAAATTATCTATAATCAATTATATGATAACTATATTTGCACCTATTTTTTACAAATCTGTTTACACTAATGAAGAATATCACACAACTGAGAATATTGTTAAAGGAATTAATAATGTAATGCAAGAAACTGGAATTAACAAATATGTTGGAATTATTACAAACAATGCTGCATGGAATATATTAAAACTAAATATCCAAGTAAAGTTTTTTGGATGCTGGACATATGAACTGGATTAAAGAAATTCTCAAAAATGAATAAGTAGCAAATTTTTTAAAAAAATTAAAAAATTAGTTCTTTTTTTATAACTATTTAATTCCATTAGCTACACTTTATTGCTTACAAAAGAAATATTAAATATAGAAGTAACACTTGTTTTAACTATTGATACTCAATAGATATCAATATTTGAATGTTTTAATTATATTTTACAGGTTTGATCTACATTATATGCTATTATAATTGAAGATATTAAAATAAATATTGATATAAAAACAATAATTTTAGATTATAAATTTAGAGAGAATCTTAAAATATTACATGATTTTTTAAAACTTATTATTATTTTTATAAAACAATTAGAAAGTGATTAATCATCTTTTTTTAGTATATAAAATATTATATAATTTAGCTATTATTGTTGCATATATTCTTGATTCACAGTATCATGTTAAGAATTTTGATTTTAAAAAATAAGAAGATATTATTAATACTGAAATAATTTGAATTTTGGATTTTTTTTACTTTCAAAATGTTGCGAATAGATGTATTTTTATTAGGTATTTTAGTAGTATATTCTTGGTTAATAAAGTATATTTAGCAACATGTATAACTTTTAATTGCCTATTTAAGTAATCTGCTTGAAGGTTCTATACTAGATGTCATACTTGTAACCTAATTAGAATTTACCTATTGAAACTTT